CCAGCCAGCCAGCCAGCCAGCCAGCCCCAGCCAGCCCCAGCCAGCACGCACCCGCTCGTAGCGGAGGAAAATCTCCTCAAACTGCTCGACGGAGAATTGCCCACTCAGACAGGCCACAATCAGGTCCACGCGCTCGACAAGAACCCCCAACCGAAGGAGGAAGGAATCCAGCACCGGGGCCCGGGCCATGTGCAGCTCGTGGAAGAGGTGTGTGGCTCGGGCCCGGGCCAGGCGCAGGCGACACAGGGAGGACTCGGTGCGCGAGGGCTTGCCAAAGCCGAACAATCTCCCAGGGCTCATGGTCAGGGAGGAGGGGACAAAGGACCCGCTCAGCGGTGAGTCCAGGCCCACGGGCAGCGTGCCACCGGCCGACCCGCCGATCCCCAGGCCCGAGGAATGGCCACCCGGGGTGCCGATGTCCATGGCAGCGGGCGACGAGCCGACGGTCGACAACCGGTGGAAGATGGAGGATTCGGTTGACCCGCCACCGCCAGTGCCGGTCAGCGACCCGGCGCCACCTCCGGGAGTCGGAAGCCCGGAGGAGAGGGACATGCGCCCGGGCCCGGCGGCGGGTGCCAACATCCCGGAAGACAGAGAACCGGAAAGGGCCGACGAGCTACTCGTGCGCAGGAGGCCCACCCCGCCGGAAGCACTTGCCCGGGGAAGGGACGCCCCCACCGGAGTGTCAGTGCCCATGGTGGACAGTTGCGGCGAGGCTGGCGGCGGCATGATCCACGGTGCGGCCGGGTGAGTCAACTGCAGGAGGAAGCGCTGGAGCAGCAGCGCCTCCAGTAGGGAGATCTGGTTGTTGTGATCCATGGTGGCGGTTGACCCCTCAGACGAGGTTGGCCATCGGAGGAAGCCCAACGCCCGAAGGGATACCGGCTGCAGGCTGGCGAGGAAGCGCTCGCGGCTGGTCATACGCGCGGGGGCCCGAAGGCCCAGGGCGTCGGTCGGCCCGACGGCCGCCGGTGAGCCGGGCCCCGATCCCAGCGGGAGATTGCCCACGGCGCTGGGAGCAGCGCCGGCACTGGGGGCGGCTGTGACGGCGGCTGCGGCGGCGGCGGCTGCAGCCGCCGCGGCCAGACCCCGCGACAGGGCACTTGTCGGGGCTGCAGGCGCGGCCGTCAGTCCACCAGCCAAAGGTGTGGCGGCGGCGGCCGCCGCCGCCGCCGGGGCATTGGCGAGCGCCTGGTCCGGGACGGTGGTCGACTGGGCCAGCCCGGTGGACCCGCGCCCCAGGCCGGTTGCCGCCGCCTGGGCCACATCCACCGCGCGCCCGGTGATGTCTTCCACCACACGCCGGTACACCAGCGGGATGTCCGCCAGCGGTGAACGCATGGCGCGGAGCTCGGTCGCGGTCACACCCCGGGCGAAAGGCGTGTCGACGAAGCCGGGCCGACGGCCGGGCTCACGCGAGTCCACCCCGCCCCCGGGAGGGGGCTCCTCGGTGGACAGGCGCAATCCCGCATTCCGGGCCATCGGCGAGGTGGGGTCCTCGTCGGAAAATTGCGGGTCCATGTCATCCCCGGTGACGGACAGGCGGAAGAGCTGCATCGAGGAGGAGGAGCCTCGATGCAGCTCCGACCGGGGTCGATCATGATCATCGCCCGTGGGGCCGGCCTCGGCCGACGTCGAGGCAATATGGTCCAGCATGAAGCTGCTCTCGTGGAAGTATTCCGACGAGAGGAGCGGCAGCCCGGCCGGGCAAAGGGACCATGGGATCCGGGCGAGGCGGCCGGCTCGCTGGCCCGGGGGGATGCGCTCCAACAGGGCCACAAACCACTGACGCACTTCGCGCTCGAGGGCCGTGGTTTCGGCGTCCACACCTGCCGGGTTGTCCTCCGGTAGGATGCCAGAAATCTGGGTGACCAAGATGGGGAGAGAGAGAGAGAGAGGGGGGGGGGGAGGGGGGTGTATGAAAGAAGTGAGCAAATTCGCGAAAGGTAGAGTCCAATCCCGGGCGGGGGAGGGAGGGAGGGAGGAAGAGGGAGGGAGAGGGAATGGGGGAAACTGGAGTGGAGGAGCGAAACGTACACGCTCCGGGTCTTTGCCAGCCAAAAGGGCCAGTACAAAGGGCGAGGTGGCCCAGTTCAGAACTCGCAGGACCTCCTTGTGGATGTCGTTCAGGAAAAAGCGAAGACCATCTGGAAGGTCGAGGAGAGGTCAGAGAGGGAGGATGGCGAGGGGGGGCGAGGGAGAAATGCGACTTGCACTGCGCACCGCTGATCTCATCAACCATGTGGGCGATGACGCTGAGGATGTGGTTGTGGTCTGACAGCTGGAAGGTTTTTTGCTTGAAATCCGGGCTCTGGCATTCCATGATTTCCTTTTGCAGGAGGAAGTCCCGCGCCTCCAAACACAGGGAATGCATCTGGTCGAAGTAGCCAATCAACGAGGACACATGCTCAATGATGGACGCCAAGTAGACCTCCTGCTTGGTCGGGTCGTCCTGGTAAAGGGCATGCGAATGGAAGAGGGACTTGCGCACGGAAAGCACGGTCGGGACGCTGACGGAGCTCGGGCAAATCGGCATCACGAAGCTCGCCTGGTTCATGGCCTCTATGTGTGCAAAGGGGTTTCGGTTGGGCATGTTGCGTCAGTTGCGGCGTAGACTCGAGCGGGGGCAAAAAGAAAAGAGCCGGAAGAGGCGGAGAAAGGGGAAAAGAGCGTGGCGGGCGCGGGCAGAACGTACCGATTCTGGCTAGCCGTGCCGCACGACTGCGATGCTTCTCCAGGCAGCTGACACACACGGCCGAGAGGGTGGGATGGGCGATGCGCGGATCGGGCACGGCCTCGGCATTCAGCGGGACCATGGTGGGGCTCATGTGCCCGGTGCAAACAACCAGCCCGCATCTGCGACAATGATGACGACGCTCGAACCAGCCAAATGTGCTAGAACGTCGAGAGAGAGAGAGAGAGAGAGAGAGAGAG